ATATATATATATATATATATATATATATATATATATATATATATATATATATATATATATATATATATATATATATATATATATATATATATATATATATATATATATATATATATATATATATATATATATATATATATATATATATATATATATATATATATATATATATATATATATATATATATATATATATATATATATATATATATATATATATATATATATATATATATATATATATATATATATATATATATATATATATATATATATATATATATATATATATATATATATATATATATGTCTTAAATAAATGATATCTTAAATAAACGATATCTTTATCCCAACCTAAAAATTAATAAAAGAATTTAAAACTCAAAAGAGGTTGAATTTTGGTAAGCATTTCCGCTCTACAGGTTGTTATTATCTTTATATGTTTTCTAACAATACCATAGACATTATTACTATGTTGTGATATCGTTATCTTTTTGAACTTATCACAATTAAATTAGAACAATAATATTAATACATACCTAAACCTAATTGTTTTTTCAATATTTTAATTTTTTTTTTGCACTTATTTCTTATGAAAGATCTTGCAAAAAAAAAACACAACTTGTATTCAGTATATCATGGAACAAATAATAATAATAATAACAAAAACCATAGCATTAATGCATATTAATATAAATGGCATTAATTTGCAGTATAAGAAACATATAAAACATTTGGGAATTGTGTTAGATCCACAATTAAACTTTGATGCATTTGTGACGAATTTTTTGGGGCAGTTTTGTTTTGGTTGTTTTTGGATTTTACATAGGCTTTTGAAAATGTCAACAGGGCTGCTTCATTAGATAAGTTAGGAATTCTGGGCTCTGGATTCATTAAAATATTGTCTGGCAGAACAGAAAAAGTGAAATATGAGTTAGCTTTGTCTGAATCTATCTTGGGGAAACATGGGGACCATTATTGTTTCTTCTGTACATAAATGATATAGCTCAAGTTGTGAAAAACAGTAAAATTACATTATTTGAACTATAGACATTAAACAGTGAAGAGATTATCTAGTTGGTATACGTCTAATTTGGTCTTTCGCCTTGTAAAGTCTTACTGCCAACAATTCAATTAATCCAGCTTTAAAAAAATCCATACTTAGTTTTTTGTTTAAATTAACACCACAATAAATTTTATGAATTTGAGACCTTTTAAAAAAAACTAGGTTTTTCAATTTAACATCATCCAAATAAACTCTTTTATTTTTTAAATTCTGTTGTATATATAAAGGCGCAATTTTTTTAGAAAAATTAAAATATTGCAAAAACTATTAGGTTTACGTATGTATTATTATTAAAAAAAAACTGGACGAATTTTAAAGGGAATTCAAATCAAAATTTAAAAATAGGGTGTCATAGCCAAGTTATAGCCAACTCACCTTGTAGCACAATAAATTTTGATAAAAAAAATATTTCAAGTTTCTAAGTTAATCTCATCCTGTTCAAAAACTTAGAAAAAACGGCCTAGGAAAATCCACCTTTAAGCAATACGCTAATTCATTTCAATTACAAATCTTCTTTGTACGTTTTGAAAAACACTTTGTTTTTAATATGATACTGTTCTATGCCTCTAGTTGCTATGAACAAATCGCAGTTGAGCCTTTCGATTTTGCTGATATCGTTATCATACATATAGGACCCCAAACAATGGAGCAATTACTCTTGCATGGATCTCTAACTACGAATTTGCAAATTGCAATTACGCGGTGCTGATTTAGAAACATGGTAGTGGATCTGATATTACGGCGCATCCGTAGGAATGGCATCGACAAATCCTGTTAAAAATCACATTTGAAAAAAAGTGCGTCTCTTTTGTATTTGCAGTTTTGATTGATCGAACACATCCATAATTTGTATTCAAATTATGATAATTCGCTTTAATTTAAATAAAATTTACAATAACCTTATATTTAGAAAAAGTTTAAGGCAGTTCATTAGAAAAATATTTCTAGCCAAAGCACTACTACTTTGAAATGCAGATTGCAACAGAAAATTAGACCATTTCATTAATTTTAAACACCTTGTATCGTGGTCTTTTTACGTTGAATTCAGAAGAAAGATAATCTTTAAGATACGAGCTAAAGTTTTGTTTTAATGGAACACTCTGTGTATATATATTTTACGTGGTTAATTCTTTTGTAAGCTTTGAAGAAAATACAATAGTAGTAGTATTTTAGTTATTTACGAGAATAATTGGTCTAGCGTACTCAGAAGTCTTAGGATTTTAAATGCGATGTTTCATACACTTTTTAAAAATATAGACAAAGCATTTAGACAAATGGAAGCAAGACTAGTAGTCCTCGTAAATGCCCAAAGAAGAATTCGCAAAGGAAAATCTCTGGAGGCTGGAAATCATTATTATAATTAAGGCTCTTTCATGTTATTTTAGCCTAGACATTTTTCGCCGTGCTTCTCCAATATATTATGCTGCAAAGTCTTGGTTTCCCAATAGAATTTCATCTTTGAAAATTCCAAAAGATTAAGAGATTTTTGGACAATTTGTAAATCTAGTTTCAACATTATATTTCTTTAGAACTGTGGTCAGAAATATTTCATTTCTGAATTATTATATGATTATATTTAGTTGGTATTTTTTCTCACAATAATAATACTAATACGTTAAGTGGTTTAAAATTGGGATAGAATATATAAAAGTATATTTTCTCTATAAGATCTATAAGGTTCCGTTTTTGTTATCAACGGTGTTTGAAATACAAAGAGCAAGTGAATTGACTTTTTTTTTCTCTAGCTCAAAAACAAAGCCAGAAAGGGTTGTTTTGAACATTTTTTTTAGTTTAGATTAAGATTAAGAGATTTTTGGACAATTTGTAAATCTAGTTTCAACATTATATTTCTTTAGACCTGTGGTCAGAAATATTTCATTTCTGAATTATTATATGATTATATGTAGTTGGTATTTTTTCTCACAATAATAATACTAATACGTTAAGTGGTTTAAAATTGGGATAGAATATATAAAAGTATATTTTCTCTATAAGATCTATAAGGTTCCGTTTTTGTTATCAACGGTGTTTGAAATACAAAGAGCAAGTGAATTGACTTTTTTTTTCTCTAGCTCAAAAACAAAGCCAGAAAGGGTTGTTTTGAACATTTTTTTTAGTTAAGTTCATTATCTCATTGGTTTCAAAAATTATGAGAAAATGGTAAATACAAAAGTTTTAAAGAAGGGCAAATATTACAAAATTAAAAGTAAATAGCCAAAGTATTAAAAATAGATATACGAGAGACTCAATTAAAGTTGTAGATCTTTGTAAGAAAATAATATATATTCAATATAAAATGACCCAATTATAATCGTTTATTTTAAACATCCTGTAGCGTCTAATTCAAATTCCGTTGTATATATCTTTTACGCCATCTTTCAATAACGCTGATCTCAAAAATTAGATTAAAAAAAATTTCGCTATTGCAATTTTTTTT